CTACTTGCAAATATCAAATTAGAATCGTGGACAGCAGTGTACTGTGCAACAAATGTTAATGATGCTGCAAACACAGTCACTGAATGCATAAAACATTTAATTGAATGTAGTACTAACCGAGTTAAAATTAAACATTTTGACAGAAGCAGGAGTCCCTAGATAACTAAAGGAGGAACTATACAAAATAATCAAAGCATCACCAGGTGCAGATACCTCCCGTAAATATAATGAATATAAAAATATTTTCATCAATCTAGTTAGAGAAGCAAAACGCCAATTTTATCTAAAAAAATTACAAGATGCCAAATCTGATCCAAGAAAACTGTGGTCGGTTGTCGATCACTTAATTAACAAAGACGTTCAACAGGAGCCAAATATTGATGAAATTAAGAATCGCGATGAAACAATATTAACAGATAAACGACAAATATCCGATGCATTTATAATTTTTTTCACTAATGTTGGAGAACATTTAGCAGCCACTATTAAAAAAATGTTTTGAACGGCATGTTCCCAAAAACCCAACTTCAAAATTCATTCTTTTTAGAAAGCGTTAGTCCGATTGAGGTACCAGAAGCTGTCCTATCACTTAAAACCAAAAAAAGTCCTGGTGTAGATGGTATCAAAGCTGTTGTTGACAACAGAAAAACACTACCTAGCAACGCTCAAAGTTGATTTGATCTTATTTTGGTAATTTTTCAAAATGTATTTTTTTTCTCAAAAACAAAGTAAGAGTAAGTAGAAAAAATATATTTTTTATAAGTCACTAGCATGCATTTTTTAAAACTTGAACAGCCTGTATCTTGAAAACCAAACTTCTTAGGACACACGCTTATATGAACTTTTCTACTTGGATTAAGGAATGCGCCCTTGCAATAACGGTCTTTTATTAAGCAACGCCCTGTATTCTAACGTTAGAAATTTGAAACACGCTCATCTACATCCTACGACTTGTCCACGCGCAATGTTTTACCCCCCAAAAAAATACAAAAAAGAGCAGGAACTTCTGAAATGTCAAAAATGAGGTTTTGTGTTTTTTTTGTTTTTCTCCAGTGTATCTGCCGCCAGTAAGCTTTTTCCTCCTTGGCATAGTAGTAACCTTGTCTCAAAATCTGAGCAGACAGCATCCAGACGGTAATGAATGACATGTTCTTTTGTGATATCATGTTACATCTATAAAACATATCTCATTTTCGAAATTTTTCGCGATAACAACACTTCCTCACCAATTGGCGTGCGAAGTAAGAAAGCGTCTTTTCGAAAGCTGGTAGATAATTTTATTTCTGGAAGGAACATCGGTGGAATACATTAGCTTTTGCAATATACCTACTACTGGCGACATTTGACCTGCTTGATTTTTTGTGATCGAAAGAATTATTTTAGAAAGCATTCATGGTGCAAACACGGAATGTAGTGTCGGACCGTAAGTGTTTGTTATTTTTTACTGCCTTCTTATACAAACGCTGAAAACATGATGTCTGGGTAACAAAATAAATACGATGACATCTATGTTTGACATTATGGTTGCCGCGTTGAGCATCCCATTCCATATGCAAAAATTATTCAGCACCGAATATTTAATCAGTCATACAACGGATGCGTTGCTCAATTTGGAGCAAACTTGGATGATTCTAAAGAAACAGAGCACTCGAAAAGTGAGGTGATAAGACGTCAACAGCCCTGGATAACAATGACTGTTGGTCCTTACATGACGATCATATAATTTGTGCTAGTGATGTAACAACATTCGCGAAATTCATATTTTACGAATATCAGAAAAAGAAATCAATAAAATAATATTACGTACTTGAATAATGGCTCACTTATTCAAAGTTCAACATTTTTTTTTCGTCTAATTTATCATGGAGCTACACCCAAGACTAAGCATTTTTGAAGTTGCAGATATGGATCGCCGAAAAGAAATGAAATGAAAATGGAAAAAAAGATGAATGTCACAAATTTGGTGTCTTGTTTTTATGAAAACAGATGAACGTCCAGTGATCGTCACTGAAACAATTTATCATACACCATTCTGCAACGAAAGAAAAAAACGTTAGGTAATCATTTTTCAGCAGTTACCATTAATTTTGTTTTGTTTGTTCTATATTCTTTAGAAAACAGTTTTTTTAGTTGATTGTTTTTTCCTGTCGCAATTAAAAAAATACTTAAAGGTAATTCTGTGATTGAGCTATTAGAAAATTTCTTATGTTCTAGGCCGTGTGTAATAAATTTCCTGTTGAAGTAGTTCTCATATCAGAACAGATCGTAAAACCTAAAATAGGTATTTTACTGGTTAATCAACCCTTAGATTTTACAAGGTGTCACATATGACGAAAGGCTCAGTTCTAGCCTCAATATCTCAAAGAAAGTTGAATTCAGGCATTGACGCTAAATCAAAAAAATGTTTGAAATATCAAAATACAAAAGTAATAAGGATTTTCCATTAAAAAATGTTTGGTCTGGTTTCACTTTGGGCTACCATGTATATCGGAAAATAATTGTTTATTTATAATTGAACTTTTTTCAATTTCTTATAATAAGGAATCTATGATACTCCGTCAGATCTTTGACCCACCCTGTATAACGAGTCTAGAAGTTTTCAAACTTTTAGATTCACTATTCTCAAAACTCACCTTTTGTGACATTCATCTTTTTTCCCTGTGCCCTTAATAATTGTAAGCCATGTTTAAGGTCTCAGTATGAATTCGGTTGATTTTGCACGTCAACAAAACTAACTTTGCAACTGAGGACAAATCTCATTCAGCTGAGGTTATTAGTTGAACTGAGTTTTGGTAAAAAGAAAATGTCGGTAATAAACAAAGTAAACTGAAGTGAAATTGTATAATTAGGGAATAACAACTTCGAACAAAGAAAAACATCTTCTGTTCTAGATTTATCAGTCTGTGATTATAAATGTTTCACAAATCAAAATACAAACAGAGACGACAATTATTTGTTTAAGCTTGTTGTCGAAAAGAAATGTTTTTTCACAACCTAGGTACGTATTTACTTTTTATTCAATAGTCAAGCTGAACTAGAGGAAAACCTATCAAAGTTCAAAAGTAAGAACTTGTCAATCATCTCTCCTTCAAGTATGTTTTGATGTGATGTAGAGAGAAGAAAAGCTGACTATTTGCATTGAAACAAAATGTTGAAAACTATCTTTCCCGATCTTTCTTGTTTTATAAAAATGCATCATCAATAACTGATTTTGAACATTATACTAATTTCTTACAATAATCTGATTTTGTAAGGGTATTGATCCGCCACATAATCGACATGTACTTTTAACGGTTACAACTGTTTTATTTGCCCGAAATTCGTGTAATCAAATGAAACTTCAAAATGTTCGCAATCCCTTCCTCCCAAAAATGAATTCTTAACTCTTCGAAAAAATATAGACCAGATTTTTCTACAAGTCTTGCATCAACCCTTTTCATTCCTCCAAATGATATTCCCTAGATCGTAAATGTAAAGCAGTTATAGATTTTTCGTATATTGTATTATATCACCTGCTTCAAAAATATCATCACAAGGTGATATGGTTTTAACGATACACCTGTATTTTATACCGAAACCGACAGTCATCCTAGGAAGTATACATGAATTTATGAATGTTTTCCTCCCCAGCTCTCAAACTTTAAAGAGCAATATTAGCTTTGACGTTCAAACAATAATATTTTTCTGCATCCTCCATTTGAATATTCATCCGAGAAACAATTAAAATATTTTAATGGAGTTGCACTGGAGGCATCAGAAACACAACTTTGTAACTCGCCAGATATTATTGTATAATTATTCAAATTTATATTTTAATAGCAAGGTACACTGACAACAACCCTTTCTTGCGATGTTCGTGATATTTGTTTCGAGAGTCAGGGGTTGACTTTCGACTAATTGGAAAGGATTGAGGGGCGGTTTATGAGCAGATATTTGTTTTTCATAATAGCAAATGGCGATTGTTTCTGTTGAGAGAAGTGAATTTTAATATTCAATTCTTCAGAATATCAGAGAGATACTTCTTATAAGGGTGCACATTTGAGTTCATATAAATATAATATGTTCTAAAAAGTCTGGTTTTGTTAGAATACTCGTATTTTATCAAACTGTTGTTACTTTAGATTTCTAAGATTTTAAACATGCCTCACGATAAATATTTTGCATCGATCAAATTAAATGTTATTTTAGAAATCTTTCGACATCTAATAACGCTGTCTTTTAAGTAAGATACGAAGAGATACCAAAACAGAAAAAGTTGTATCTTTGTCAGATTAATTCAAAAGTAATAACTTTTTTTTAACACATTTCTTGTCAATATTGTTTGTTCTAATTAGTGCTAATTCAGTGTCCTATTGCAATGAATAACTTTGCTAAATTCACCTTTGAGATATTAATAAGAAAACAACTTTCTTTAAACTTTGACACCCTGTATCTTGGAAACTAGACTTTCCAGGACACATGTTTATACGATCTATTCTACTTGAATATTGGTAAATTATTGTTAAAAAAATAAAATTTAATAAACGCTTAAATAATATTAACGTATGTGTATTTCGTGAAAAGCCCAAATAATGTACCGATGGTACTGACAAAATCTACGTGTTTTTAAATGATGTTGCACTGCATGAACAATAGAATTAGAAGTTGTTTCGAAGGCGAGGAAAGTATAGAGTCAACCTTTAATTTTATCTTCTTAAAAATTCAACACAGAGTAAAAAATTATATCATTGGGACATATATATATATATATATATATATATATATATATTCGTATTAACTTTTCTTTAGAACATTTGCTCATAATTCAGCAAACGGGGTCTAAAGGGGGGCGTCGATCACACTGAGGAGAAGCAATCAATGTCCGAAACTCAGACTACGCGAACTCCGCGAACTGATTAGTTGAACCTAGATCCGGAATTTACTGCAATATATTCAACAGCTACATCAGATCTACATTAAATTACCTGTTTCTCCAAATCTTACTCCCTCTTGATTAGCAAAGACATTCAACACGACAAACTTTCAATCACAAACTTCCACCATCACAAACTTCCACCATCACAAACTTCCACCATCACAAACTTTCACCACCACAAACTCGCACTATCACAAACATCAGGAATGTTTACCTTAACAGATTCACCATTTCTTCAAACTAAACTTCACCACTTATATCATAGTAGGCTCTTCCAGATACCTGACGTATCCAGATGGCTGATTTTTTCACCGATTCTGAAAATTGAGAAAGCTCAATATTTTACAGGAAAACTCGCTAAAAACATTTCTTCAAGTAACCGCCCCGATACTGCACTTTGGCGGAGCTTTACCGGAAATGCACTTTCCATGAAAATTGCATTTTACCACCGCGTTTGCCATTCCATCAGTAGTTGTGGAGACCGACTGACCCATTTTCGAGATGCACCCAGTGCCGAGTTGGCGGGTCGATGCACGCGCCTGGCAGCCCTGCTGCACTAGTGCACTATTTAGTGCACTTGAGGGCTACACACCTTGCTGACGAGCTTCCAAGGCGGAATAGATAGGTCATATTTTAATTTCGTGCAATATTTTTCGAGATGCAATCAATGCTGAGTTAGCGGGTCGATGCAAGCGCTTTGCGGACCTGCTTACTAGTGCCCTTGGGGGGGCTCACATACGGTGCTGAAGGGTTTCCAAGGCGGAGTAGGTATGTATCTTTTAAATTCGTGCAATATCTCTAGAGGTGCACCCAATGCCGAGTTTGGGGGGTACATGCCTGGCAGACCTGCTGAACTAGTGCACTATTTAGTGGACCTAGGGGCTACACACGGTGCTGAAGTTCTTCCAAGACAAAATAGGTAGGGCATCTTTTAAATAAGTATTGTGAGGTGGAATTTGAAGTATGGATGATTTTTGGATTAATATCAAGTTGCATTTTAATGTTAAATTTATCGCAGTCGATGAAACTGTTAATGTAAAAATAGTGTTAAACATAGTTAAAAGGTAAGTAAAAAAAGTTTAATGATACAAAAGATACCAAACTGCAAAGCATTTCAGGCAGCGAAACCATCTCTAATGTAAAAAAGTGGCAAGAGTAATAGTCAACTACTCTTCCACCATTAGGCAGAGCGATACGCCCAAAACCAAACGACTGGTCACAAAATTATTTCAGTTCAAGTCTGAGCCCAGTGATTGCCACAAAAATATCAGTTTTATAATTTGAAATTGTATTATTCCAGTCTGTTCCATACTTCATTTCCCGTAACCGTGCAATAGCAAAAGTCCACCGGTACTATAGAATACTATAGAAATCGGGGTCATAGGAATCCATAATCGATGCATACTGTGGTATGTATATTTTCTTTGTTTCGTTCACCATCAGCGACGGTATGTTACGGAATTGCGAAAATCGGAGTCGCGAGGAATCGGAATATAAAGAATCTGTTCCGACACTGGGATCAAGGAATTATAACACTGAAAGAACCGGTTTAGACCAGCTCTAGAATAAATTGAGTAATGAATCCAAGGGCGGATTTATAGGGAGCGCCTTCCTAGACCTGAATCGTCAAATGTCCTAGACATATGCTACCATCTGCTCTTCAATTGTCACAAAGGCATTTGCCCTCAGAAGTGATGCTTAAATGCCCAAGTATGGAGCCGTCACTTAGCTTATACCAAATACTCCTGGAGTCATTAAACATAAGATATGTAGACCCCTCAAGATACAGTGTACATGTGGAACGTCAGCTATAGGTACAAATGCAATATAGGCACTAAGCAGGCTTTCAATAAAAAAAAAGGTTAAAATCGATATAAAATACAGCAGTACAGTGTAAACTACATGAAAACAAGCACAAGTAAAATAAAATGATAAAATAAAAAACATGATTAAAAAAGTATGGTATGAAAACCGATTCATCGCTGCCACTATTTTTGAGTGAATCTCATCAGTAGTGCAGCAGACAATGGTACAGTAGTGTCATCCGCAAACAAAGTAACGTGCACAGAAGGCATAAATTTAGGCAAATCATTAATGACTGGTAAACAGAGAAGCGGCCCTAATATCGACCTTTGCGGAACGCCGAGTTGAAGTGGATGACTTTCAGACATCACATCTACCTTCACTCTCCCAGATCCAGTCATATATCACATCAACCAGTCCAAAAGAAAACCTCTAATACCAACTCAAGAGTTGTTTATTCACTGAGTCAAATGCCTTCGATAAATCAAACACCAAGAATTTTACCATATCGAACATTGTCAAGAACAAGCAGTTGGGAAGGAGACAGAAGATTCTGCTGGTCTAAACAAACCGCAGTTTCATCTCTACTCGTATCCCTAGCATCAAAGAAGATATTTTCTTCAGCTGTGGCACGTTTCTGTTCTGAGCAAACCTCAGTTTTCCGGCCTCCCAGTGGGCTACTGCAGTTTACAATTGATACTCTTCGTTCCACGATATCAACGCAGGTGTTTCACCAGAACCATACCATACAGTCCTAGACTACAGTCTTATTCGGGTTCCACAGGAAGTATTGTTTTCATCACCGGAAATCTGTTCCACAGATTTGCAAAAAACACATTTATAATACCAAATAACACAAGACCCTGGAGGCGTTCACTACCAAGGAACGTGGGCATAAGCAAGAGGGACTCCAAGCATCCAGATCTATGACGCTTGACCTTTCACACATGGGAGAACGAATTTCTACCCTCTCTCCCTAAATCCAATCCTACTTGGTCAGAAATATTGCTCCTTTGTTCCTGGCCCATCGCGAATGTGGTATGATCCAAAATCTGACTCATAACTTCAACTTGATACAAAATGAGGTAGGTCTATTGCCGAGTATTTTTTACTACTGGAAGTTGTAATTATGACCGATTTCCAAAGCTGCGTCACTTTGACGGAATTCGAAAGCCATCGTGTATATGTTTCCAAGTGGCCATATGGTTTAACCATGAGTCCATGTAGTCAGTGAAAAGATCAAGAATTTGACGAAATCGCGGTTAGTATGAAAAGTAAAACTAAGTTCTATTCAGACCAACCGACTTCGTGTTTCGCTCCGAGCACACAAACATATAAGAAACCCTATATAAAAGACCGTATATCCTTCTTACCTCCGATCCATCAGAGCATAGGAGTATGGCTAACACAATATAAAAGCAGCTTTGAAGCCGGAGCAAAGAAAGATCGGGATGCGCCTCTTTCTGCATATGATGGCAAATCGAATCAAAATGGCAGTTTATATTTCCTTACGGAAAAGAAACCCCGAACGAATTTCAAACTTGATTGGAGTTCCGCCCCCCTTAGGGACCGTAAGAGGGGTTTTCGCATTTTGTTGTTCGACTATTTATTAGAGGGTGAGAGAATGTCCTTTCTATTTCGTATTTCGATGGAATCTCATATTTTCGGTACACATCAATGTTATTTGAAGCTCCACAATTTTTCAACAAACATAAGACATTTCAGTATAAAGAACAAACATCTCTAAGAGCCCAGATCCACAGATAGTTATGTTCAGAGTTCATATCTTATTATTGCAGCGTTGTAACGCTTTGTAGGTGCTGATTGATACTTACGTACATGACATCAATATCGACCTAAATGGCTATCATCATTATTTTATTACACGAACATTGCTATTTTATTACATGTACAACCATGCTAAGAGAACGATTACTTACAAATATTTTTTTTTTTTAAAAAACTCGTCGAAACTGTCCTCCAATCATGTGCCTTGGAAGCACGTTTGATAAAAATTAGAGATTATATAAGATACCTTAAATACTGAACTAAATATCAGAATTGAAACTACATTACATAATGACAAAATTATAGGGTTGCGCCATCTTTTATGTCGGTATTGAAACATCGAATGACTTTGATATTTACTAACCGAGTGATTTGGTTAAAGGTGTTTCTGAAACGTCAATTTACTACAATTTCACTTTCCATCCAAAAATTAACAATACCCCATCTCCAGACTGCACTCATTTACAAGGGGTTGACTTACAATGTAGTTATTATTTTCAACGCGTTGTCCTCTGCCATCAAAAATTTAAACTTTGCTACATCCAAAACACATATAATCAAACCTTGATGCCCTCAATTTGATTATAGCTGAATAATGTTTAGTTATACCTGTTTATTTCTGAATAATAATTGTTGACTACACGCTATGTACGCTTTTATGTTCTCATTTTGTATGAATTTTTGAAGGATTAAGTCTGCATTATGTTAATCTTTGCCCTTAATAAAAAACGTTTATTAATATTTTGAGATTTATTGTTTCGTTGCTATATTTAATATTACATTTTATTTAGTATTATAACAATAATGAAAGGTAGCTGGGACTAATAAAGATATAATTAAATACAGTATTAAAAATTATATTTAATATCCGTACACCAATAATTCATATAACATTATGAATGTTGTCATTCATATTATAGGGTCGTAGATACACTCCAAGTTCCTCATTTAGGTCCACCTATAAAAAATTAGAAACGTCGGTATTAGTTGAAGATAGTTCGTTTAGTATATTCAGTATTTTATTTTTATTCAAATTCAAATAACTTTAACATGTACTCTAGGTTGAATGCAAACCTTTTGTAAAATTCACAACAAAACAATAAAGCCAAGATCCTTCCATCGGAACCTAATATTACACCCTAAGGAATATAGTTTCTTAAATCTGATTATACCAACCACATACGTATACCTACCAAAGTCATAAAAGCTAGCCTGATGCATATTTTTATGCTCATGGGTTCAATAATTCCATCTACTATTGTGCAATGTCTACCAATCAAATCAATATTTCCCACAAAAATCTAGATATTTTCTGAAATAAAATAGTGTTTCTATTCTATTTCATCGTGCATTATGTCATTGTCTTTTTCATTTGTTTCCAATCAACAAATTGGTCACACGTGGCATGAAAATGCTGTTTCATTACAGCTCTATAACAGTATTCCTTTATTTGCTAAAACAAGATAACGATGGTATTTATAGACATTATCTATGACTCCGCTGAAAAAACTGGATGCGCAACTAACAAGCCAGGAAACATGAACTAAATAACTGTATTCTTCTACAACCCGTCAAATATAGCTAGAGACTTGGTCTTCCCGATATTACGCTCCACCTCCGATGCGCACTAGACAGCACCAAAATTTCATCATTAGTATTTCGTGACAACTGGACGCAAGGTCTTGTACAGTCTGCGACAAAAACTATTCTGTTGAGTTTCTTTTTCCTGTACTGGAAGGAAGTTGTTACTGATTTGAGTGTTTAAATAATTAACATGGATTTTCAATCAAGATTAAAAGGCAAAGTTTTGTCTGGACAAACGAGGGAGGTTATAGCGAATGTAATCTTTTTTCTGCAGCGAGAAGCGATACAAAATCAGCCTATTAAGGATTTAAAAAAAGTACAGGAGCGCGCTGCCCTAGCTACGGGAGTAAGCTTAAGCACTATAAAACGGATCTCTCGTGAAATGAAAAATGTGGAAGAAGGTGGTGCTACGTCATTTTCGACGCCTAACAACAAACGAATGAAATGTGCCCCAAAATCAAACTTGGATGATCTTGACAGAAGTCTACTTCGCCGTATAATAATCAATTTTTATGTCACCGAAAAACGAGTCCCTACCTTGCGACACATAACACACAAACTTAGAGAAAACAATATTTATACAGGATCACATGAAACTTTGAGAAAAGTGATGAGGGATATGGAATTTCGATGGAGGAAAACGAAGAATAACAGGAAAATCCTAATGGAAAAACCGTATATGCAAGCGCTTCGGAGAAGTTTTCCCAGGAATATTAAACATTATAGGGAAGAAAATCGGCCCATAATTTACATGGATGAGACTTATATTCATTCCTCTCATACCCATGCCAAAAACTGGGGAGACAATACCATCGAAGGTTTCCACAAGCCAGTGTCCAAAGGGCCGATGCTAATTATTGTTCATGCAGGCGGCGAAATGGGTTTCATAAACAACGCATGTTTACAATTCAAATCTGGTACTAAGTCCGGAGATTATCATAGCGAAATGAACTATAGTAATTATAAAAAGTGGATTCAGGAAAAACTTATTCCTAACATACCAGGCCGTAGTGTATTGATTATAGACAATGTACCGTATCACAATGTCCAACTACAAAAATGTCACACAGTGGGGTGTAGAAAAGATGAAATGAAGGAGTGGCTGAGACAGCGGAACATTACATTTTCGGAAGACATGATAAAAGCAGAATTATATGGCATAATAAACATGCACAAACCTAGTTATAAAACCTATGAGATAGATCAGATCATGAATGATGCAGGTCACTCTGTTTTAAGACTACCACCCTACCATCCGGACTTAAATCCGATTGAATTAGTGTGGGCTGCTCTAAAACGATATGTGGCAGATAAAAATGTGGACTTTAAATTCCAAAATGTTGAGAAATATTGTGAAGAATTATTCTCCAAATTTACCCAAGAGGAATGGAAAAAATATTGTGAACATGCTATTTCTTTCGAGCATTATTTCATGGAAATGGAACCAGCTCTAGATTTAATTGTCGATGAAGTTATAATAAATTTGCAGGAAGATACTGACAATGACAGCGTGGATTCTCTGGAAAATAGCAGTTCCGAGACAGAAGATGAACCTCTTGAACGCCAATTGTAATCTCGTTTTTTGTGGTACGTAAAAAAATGAATTATCTCAAGTTTTTTGTGTAGTTAGGTTTTATTTTTTAACAAAGTAATTTGTTTATATTTGGAAGGAACTTTATTGTTATTCAATAACTATCGAAATGTTTTCGTCATTACACTTTTTAAAACTACATACTTATCTTTGCCTACAACAAATATGTAATTTGACAAATAAGTTCGATTTCAGAGGTTTCTTTACAAATTAACACTCTCGCTGCCACTGATATTTGTGTCATTTGACTTCCATATGTCACGAACAATTTCAGATACTAATACTTACGTTTTATCCTGAAAACACTTAAGAAAAACATGTTAGTTTTTAAGGCACCATTTTCAATTATAGGCCAAAACTGGTACCAAACTTTGTTGCTTCTAGGCCATTAGAAACAATTATCCATAAGAAATATTAGCAGCGTGTATAGCAAGCCATACACACCGGCTAAAATATTGAGATGCCCGGTATATTAACAGCGATACACGTGGCGGCGCCGGCGAGAGTGTTAAGATCACATTCTGCAAACTTGTTGCACGGAGTGTACCAACGAGGCGACGAGACACAAGCGCATCATGTATCTCTTTTTCTCCGAATGCGTTCTCACTTAATTTTCTACGCAGACGGCAACATTTCCAAGTCTCTACCTATATTTGACGAGATTGTACCTATCGCTCATGAGCAATAAGTACATTTAAACATATTTCTGTAAGAACAGTTGAGACAACATTCTAATATTGTTTAAAGAATATTTGTATGACATAATCAGAATATTTTTTATAACTGTCAGGGTTGTTATAGGGATTGATAAATAGCTAAAAATAAGATATAAAAGCACGTCAATTGAAATTTTTGCTGTACATATTATAGCAAGAAAGGCAGTAATAACTTACCAGCTGTTTCAGAAGTTTGAGGATGATCCTGATTGCCTTCTGCATTGCCAATTGTGTCAGTATCCATATTAGAAGTTTGACCAGTTTCTTGGACAGTTGTCTGATCAGTTCTCTGATTAGCCTCATCATTTTTCCCTTCAGGTTCAGTTTCACTCTCATTCTCCATCATCATTCTGGCAAACTTTTTCCACAATTCTCTACGCCTACCATCAGAGCACATCATGTCTATAAAAGCTCTTATGGGACTGCAACCTTCTCCTGCATGATGTTCGAATCTATCTCGCTTGCACTTCCACCCCATCTTGTCTTTGTGGTGACCTCCGTGCTTTTTTCCAAATTTCATCTTCAACTTGCCTTCATGTGGGCCATGACAGCGAGACCCATGGCACCTTCCAAATCTCATCATTTCATCAGCATCCGGACTTTCTTCTTGTATTTCAGCAGCTTCCTGGTCCGTTTGCACATTGGATCCCTGACCTTGGGTATCCTCTTGGTTATTTATCTCATTAGCACAGTCATTACCAGATTCAGCATCAGTTTCTTCCAAATATTCCATCATCATTCTAAAAAATTCCTCAATCGTTCCTTTGCCTTTATGATGTTGCTTGCCCATCTTGCATTTCCACTTCATCATGTCTTGGTGATGTCCTTTACCAAATTTCATCATAAACTTTCCCTTATCCATTTGGCGATGAAATTCATCACCTTGCATACATGCTCCATGATGTCTACCAAACTTCATCGTCATTTTGCCTTTAGGACAGCCACCTACAAAGAAACAAGTTCATGGTTACAAGGAGTACCTCAAATCTCCATTCTGTATTATAAAATATGACTTGTCATCCAAAAATTAAAGTGACGCGCAACCCATCTGTTGATCGTTGGGAATTACGTCTGCCGAAATTACGCATACTAAAAAATGTAAGGTACTTACCATCTAGCATGGGATGACCTCTTCTGTTATGCCCACAGCCATCACGTCTTCCAAATTTTCCCATTTTTCCATGATGATGATCACGGTGTCCTCCAAGCACATAGCGGCCTCGGTGACCGTGGTGATGATGCATTTTTCTTTGTGAAAATTCACTAACACCCCACTTCGAAACTGAGTTAGAGTAAAAACGGTGTATTGCAGAATGCGACAACTGTAGATATCGAACAAAGTGATGACTACATCGCGCAGTAGCAAGGTTATATGTAATTAATGAGTAAGTCCATTGGATTACCATGTAGGGGAAAATGGTGCATTTTTCTAGAGCAGTAGTTAAGTTTTTCGAAATCCTTAATTTGGGGTGACTCGATTTTGAGAGGTCTGTCATCAAAATGGAAATGTGTTTTCACTACTAACCTGCCGCCATTATTTACCGCACAAGGAGAAGTCACATGTCTCCCTTAGGTAAATACTAAATAGTAATAATGAAAGAAGCATTAGGTAAGTAGTGAATGTGAGCTTCTTTGGCTTGTTGGGCACAGACTTGCCATAACTACTAAACCTGTTTAAATAATGATTTTTGTTTACTACGAGTAAATATCTATTTTATAATTGAAATTATGTTGTTGGGTGGGAAACGAATGGTGTGTCGAGGTACGTAGCATCTTCTGCCTTTGACGGACTCTTTCATGTAGCGGCAGCGTCCCTATCCTATGCACCACCTGATGCTGCGTCGGCTTATATGACGGTGTTGCTGGACGTTGTCAAAATTTTCAGATATTTTATATTTTAAAGTCCAATCAAATTAAAAGTGGTAATACATCCTAGTTACTAGTGAGAAAAGTTCTATACATGCCAGGTCATTATTGTCCTCGAACATCATATATGAAAGTGTTAGGCCAATAATGACATACTTTTTCACCAAAGTATGTAATGTAATATTTTCAATTTATGCGAGAATGAAGTACTGAATTTCAGATTTTTGAATTTTGGGCTCTCTAAAAAATGATGACGTCAAAAAACTTAGAAAACCCGAAAAATTGTTTATTTTTATAAGCTTACAAAACCTATAAAGGTTCTTCATCTTAAGCATGATAGTGGCTCTGTCAAAATTTCATGGAAATGACCGATACATGTTAATATCGTAGGTTTACGTATCATACAATATCCAGAAAGGTGTCTCACGATTGCAATACTTTTTGCGTCTATTGACGACGAGTAGCAAGAGTTCCTAATCATGCCTGATGAAAAATCAACAGGATTAAGATTTTCTTACATTCACATTGGGCACGTTAAAGTTCTTTCTTATTTCAGGACTAGGTGAGATGTAGTAGATAGTTTGATATTTGCCAGACATCATTTCAATATTTTGTGATTCCAGTCATTTACTTGATATAACTTAAAACACTTGTAACTAATCCAACATTTTTGAAAGCGTAATTTGAAAATGGGTTGATATTATTGCGTAGGAAGTACCAGCACTCGTATTTATAGCAACTTAAAAGGTAACATTATATGGGTTTTTATGACATTAGGTAGGTTTTTTGACATTATATAGGTTTTCCTATAAAATGTCACCTTTGAACTAGCTGACATTCACTACAACTAGCTACCTAGCGCATAGGTTAAGAATTTACCGATTTCTATGTAATAATCAGCTATTCAACTCATTTTTTGCAAACTTTGTTGAGGCATTGGAAGGTGCTATGGAGACAATAAACAACATTTAGAATTAGAAGATTCGTCCTACCTAAAATATTCGTACTCCTGTCAACCCTAGATAAACTATGATTCACAATGTTGCGCAATATTTTATAGAATTACATCATGTTTACATCAATATTTTTTCCGCTATCATATTTCCACTTTTCATGATATCATTTTACATGATTATTCATACCTAATTATGATAAGGCTTTCATTTGTATATAACGCATGATGTTATTTGTTTTCAGCTAACAATTATTGTTAACCACATATCGTAGTTACTAGTTACTTTGTATTGTTCAAACAGTGTCATACACCTCCTCTCAGTTGTGAAAGCTCTCATAAAATTGGAAAGTCGCTGTCATTTTTGATACCATTTTTTTTAAAACAAGTGAATGTTAAATTATATAAAATCTAAACTCTTAAACCCAATAAGCAGTTACCAACCAGGGTGGGATATACGGTTCATTGGTTTTAGGAATGTTTATTAATTTTTCTTATCGCAGTCATAATTCATAATAGTCCTGTATTCGCAGCTGCTCGACTATAAAAACAAACAAAGTCTCCGATTTTGAATCACTGGACAGTTGAACAAACAAAATGAAAAATCGATGACCCCAAGAATTCTTACGGAATATTTTGAAACGAAAAAAGAGAAGGGAAAGTTCGAACGTCCACAATGGGGTTATCAAATGCTAGAATCAAATGCAAACTAATGATATGGCTTTAATACAGTAAAATAATAAAAAAAAATGAAAATCAATAATAGATAAAGCACATATTAAAATTTAAACTCCAAGAACTCTTGGAATGAATAAAAAACATTTTCAGCAAGGGAACTTCTTCTTGTCTGTTTAAAAGCATTTAAATTAATGAATCTGATTTGCAGTGATAGTTTATTGTAGTATTTGGGTGATGTTATTTTTAAACTTTTCTGACCTCTTTGATAATCTCACAAAAGCAATATTTAAGTTTCCAGCACTCCCTCTATCATAGTGAGTATACGAGCCATGTTCATGGCAATTTAAATACTGCACTAGTGTTTCATAAATATACAAATATATTGAAGGCAATGTAAGTAACCTGGATTCTTTGAATGTTTGTTTGCAATCGTCAGTATACTTCAGTAAACACGACATCCTAATTGTTCGCCTCTGTAAAACGAATAGTCGATGCCAGTCTGCACCCTGACCCCAATCTAAGATACCATATGAGATCAAAGGGTGGCATAGAGCAAAATGAACTAACTTCAATGCATCACTTTTCAACTCATACGATATGCTTCCAAGTAAATTAATGTTTTTTCTGAACTTTTTTGCCGTTTGGTCAATGTGCGTTCCATTCTAATTTCTTGTCTATATGTATACCCAGAAATATTCTATGTAAAGTATGTTGTGATCTTAGATCTTTTAATGAAAATATCATATTTTCTGTCTTATTTTCATTCAGGGTCAGCTTATTTTCTACAAACCAGTTGTTGGTAGTCGACTGTGCGATCATGTCCTTCCCAAGAAGCTCAGAAATATTCTAACTCAGATTGCAGTATCACCAGCAAATAGTATATGTATATACGTATAGTTTCGATCTTTGTAGTTCGGCAAATCATTGATGCATATCAGAAATAAAATCGGTCCAAATTCCGAACCCTGGGGTATTCCGTGTTCAATATATTTTTCATCTGATGTATTATTTCCGATTTTTACTAATTGTTTTCTATTGCTTAATACGAATCGATTAGGTTGCAAGAAGCTGTTCCGCAGTTATACATGCTGAGCTTTCTGATTAAAATGGTATGTGATACACAGTCGAATGCCGTGCCTAAATCACAGAATATGGTCTGCGAGAATTCTTTTCCTCCGAAAGCGTCAAGTCATCGACCAACTTCAAAACTCCGAAGGTAGTAGTTTTTGTAAATTTTGCTGAGAACAGGGAGTGATGAGATTAGGCGATAGTTTGCAATATCGCCAGTATCGCCGTTTTTAAAAACCGAAATATGCTACACTCAATGCAATGTATTCATTTATTTGCTTAGAATTCTGATTTGATTTTTGATCATATTTATTAAAAGAGTGCCCTTATCATAAATATCTTAAATAGCTCTTTCTTTTAAGAGAATTGATAGCATCTCTTACATCATTAAATGTTTTAAAGTAGAAGTGACGGAAGTACTCGTATATTACTTTCTAGATGTAATTATTATAATTATGTTTTATTTGACAAAATGCTTGAGGCACCTTCTAACGTCTTTAATAATACAAAGTGATCCTCGTTTTCAGAAATTATAATGGTGGGGATCTATATATTGAGATAATGTAGAGACTGTGTTCAACAAAGTAATTTTAAGACACTTCACACTGCCTTTCAATAAATAATTCGTTCACTGTACTGATGGCAGGTTGTACGAGCCCCTTCCCACTTCAGTTGGCCCAACTATTGACATCTTAGTTTTTTTCTTATCAAACACAAATAATAAAAATGTAGCAGGGTGTTATAGGTTTAAAATATTAACAATGAATGTTTTGATAATATATAGTAGAAAACACCAACTTTATCACTCCCTAATCAAATTTGCAGCATAAAAATAACACATGTTGCTATTACAGCATATCAACCTATTTTCATTTCAATGCAAAATAAGTCTATAACGCATAGGTGGCTGTGAAAAATAAAAGCCATGAAAATTGTTTTTATTAATGAAAATGGATAGAGGAAAGGTTATTAGTGAGAAAATTCGGTTACTGATAATTAAATTTTTTAATTCTGGGAAACCAAACTCAGAAATTGCAACCTTGTTAGACTTATCGCGGTACAGTGTGAGAAATACAGTTAGAAGATATAACGTAACTGGTTCAGTTAATATTAAGCCACGATATGTGAAAAAAAATAATATCACAAATGCCGACTGAAGAGCATTAAGAGGAATAATCGTAAAAAACAGGCGTGCCAATTATTTACAATTAAGTGCTCTGTGGAGTGACGCTGTTGGAAGGAGAATTTCGAGGGCCACAACTCATAGAGAGGCCGACAAACTGAGATTTAGCACTTGCAAGGTAAGTTTTCTTATAAAAAAAAGTGAAGTAAAAACCCTAAAGTTGCACAATTTGTTTATAGCCCAAAGAAAAGTCACTATTAACTCCACTGCAAACGAAAAATCGGCTTAGATGGACTAAAGAACATAGACAATGGACACCTCAACAATGGTGTGCAATACAATGTAGTGATGAGGCCCGATTCGAAGTTTGTGTTGGTGACAGTCGCAGTAGAGTTATTCACAAAAAAATGGAGCATTCCATGTTGACTGTCTGAAGAGAAAAGTGAAATTTCCAGCATCCATTATGGTCTGGGGCAGTATGTCATCAAAAGGAGTAGGAAAACTTCATTTTATTGATGGAAATGTGGATACAAACAAATATTTGGCAATTTTAGAAGAATCGCTTTTATCAGTGATGGAAGAATGTTTGAGATCCGGCAAAGATTTTGTGTTTCAGCAAGATGGTTCAGCGTGCCATTTCTCAAAAAAGGCTATAAAATGGATGGAAGAAA